AGAAAACGGATATTCCGTTCCCGTATCCAAGGGAGTGGGATTTAATTCCTTACCCTTCAAAATTCAGTCTGATTAACTTTACTCATTTTGATGGCAAGGGTTCACCCACTCAAAACTTGATTTATTTCAAGTCTCATTTAGGTACAATCTCCGGAAACAAGGCTTTGATGGTCCGGTCATTCGTTGGGATCCTTCGTGGGGCCGCCTTCGATTAGTACCAATGTCTTAAGCCTGGAAGCATCAACAGTTGGGATGATATAGAAGGTTTATTCCATAATAGTTTCTTCGACAACGATACCGAGGTATCGATTGGTACTTTGTTGGATGGGAAACAGAAAGATAGAGAATCAATTGATGTCTTTGTTAAATGATTCCGAAACAAAACGGTAAATTGTCGAGATCTGCTCACTGAAGAATTCATCCTTCAGACATACCACAATAACCTTTCTTTGGATGTCCTAGAAGTTATGAGAGTCGTACCTTCCAAAACGTGGAAAGAATTAAAAGTGCAAGGTGAACAAGCTAAACGCTTTCTCAAGAGAAAGAAGCTTGAGAGAGGTCAGCAACCAGCTAACCCTCAAAAGCAGAATTTTAACCCTCGAGGAAGAGGAAAGGGGCTTGCGATTACTGTTGATGCTCACCAGACGTCACAACAATCACAACAGTCATCTTTCCAGCTGCCACACCAATCGCAACAATCTCTAAGGCAACCCAAGACCTCGGAACCTAGATTTTTGAAAAAATATTCCTTCAGGGACGATGAAGTACTGGTTATCTTTAAATATCTTTTAGATAACAATAAGATCAAACTTCCACCGGTTACAAATCAGGAAGAAGTTAAGAAGACTACAGACCCGAAATATTGTGCATATCAATGAAGGGTCCATCATCCCACCAAGGCGTGTTATATCTTAAAAGACAAAATATAGACCTTGATCAATGTTTGTATCGTGACCGCAAAGCCAAAAGAGAAGAAAGTAGGCGCGAATACAGTATACATTAGCTTCGGTTCAGTTCCTTTGTTATGGTTTCAACCTGAACCTGTATCAAAGGTTAAAATACAAATCGTTAATGATGACCCTCATGGATAACGTCAAAAGGGACTTGTGTCACATACAGCTCCAAATGGCGAAATCCTCTGGGTTCATCCCAATCTGCTTGAAGATGAACAATTGATGACATCCACATCCAAGAAGAGGATGAAAGGCAAAGGAAAAGAGAAGTCTTGTTACGGGGCCTCGGTAATTCCTGAAGAAAATGATGAAGAAATCCTAAAGAATAGGAAGATCGACAATTTCGAAAGCTAATCGGTGCTTTGGCTATCATGTGCACTTCTGTGACTTAACCTCTAGCTTGTCCATGACATGGTCACTGATATGAACATATGCCACACAATCGAATACTCGCAAATGTGAGAAATTGATCTTCTTACCACTCCAAACCTCCTCTAGAATCCCGTAATCTAATGGAACTGATGGCCCATGATTAATCAAGCAAACTGTCGTATACACCATATCCGCCCAAAATGTCATAGACAGACCTGCATGTAATCGCATGCTCCTAGTACTCTCCGTCAATGTCCTGTTCATCCTCTCTGCAATGTCATTTTGCTACGATGTCCCTGGAGTAGTCCTCTCCAAACGAATCACATTTAGAGTAAAGAACCTCTTGAACTCCTCCAGCTCGTATTCTCCATCGTTGTCTGATCTCAGACACTTCACATTTAGATCTATCTCGTTCTCTACAATGACCTTCCACTTCTTGAAGATCCCGAATACCTCTAACTTGTGCTTCATGAAGTATACACACACCTTCCTCGAGTGATTGTCGATGAAGGTGACATAGTATGTCGAACCCTCAAGAGAAGATACGCTAGTTAGACCCCATACGTCAGTATGAACTAACTCTAGCTTCTGAGCTTTAGGTGGCATTCCACCCATCTAAAAACTAACTCTCTTCTGCTTTCCAAAGATGTAGTCCTCGCAAACACCGACTTTCACGGAATCGATGCCAGTTAGCTTCCCCTGTGAATGTAGAATCTTCATCCCCTTCTCGTTCATATGTCCTAGTCTATTGTGCTACATATTTGTACTCTCTTTGCTAGCTGCAATTACGAGGGTGTCACTCGCATGTGAGGTGAGGTAGAGAGTTCTTGTTTTGTTACCTCGGGCAACAACCATAGTATCGTTTGAGATCCTCCAGAATCCCCAGTGAATGTCAAAACATAGCCTTCTGCTCTAAGCTTGCCAACCGAAATAAGATTTCTCTTCAGCTTCGGTACCTGCCTCACGTTCTTCAGATTCTACTTGGATCCCTTCAACTCTATTTACACATCTCCTCTTCCAATAACACTACAGGGTTCATTATCCCCTAAGTATACTTTCCTAAAGTTCACTGCTACATAGTTATGAAGAAGCTTCCTATTAGCAGTGGCATAGAATAAGGCTCCTGAGTCGATGACCCCAAAAATCAAAATCGATGTCCATAGCTTGGATCAATGCATCATGCACGATATGAGCCTCATGCTCATTCGCATCCTTCTTTTGTGCTTTACAAGCTGAAGATATATGACCCTCCTGGCCGCAGTTCTAACACTTTCCTTTGATAGGCCTAACTTTTGAGTTTGACCTCTTCTTGTTTGACTTTGACCGATTCCTGTTCTGATCCCCTTCTTCTGGCTTTTGCCTCTTTGCTCGAAATTTAGGGCTGAACCTAAACCTTCTGATTCAGACGATTTCCTTCTAACCTCCTCGGATAGAATCATGCTAGCAACCTCGCTCAGCTTTAACTTGTCCTTCTTCGTCAAATTACTAATTGCCATCACACAACCTGCCTAACTATCCGACATCTGCGATAGAATCAATAGGGCCTGCACTTCGTCATCGAACATGATGTCTACGGAGATGAGTTGATCAACAATCATGTCAAACTCGCTGAGGTGCATTGTGAAGGAGCGTCCTTCTGTCATCTTGAGATTAAAGAGTGTCATGATGAGATGCACCTTGTTTGCGATAGATGGTTTCTCGTACATCTTCGGGAGCACTTCTATAAGCCCCATCGTCGTCTTCTCCTTCAATATGTTGTATGCGAATGTCTTGGCGAGCGACAACCGGATTTGTCCTATAGCTTTCCTATCTAGTATTTCACAATCCTCGTTTGACTCTTCTTTCTTCTTTCCCTTAGCCTTGCCCATCAATGAGCGATACAAGTCCTTCTAATACAGATAGTCATCCATCTGCGACTTCCAGTAGGTCAAGTCTGAACCGTCAAACTTTTCAATCTTAGATTTATTTTTCTCTGTCATGACTCTCTCACAATCCTTCTGAACGAAGCTCTGATACCAGTTGTTGGGGATTCGAAACAATCAAATCGAACCATTGCCCTTCCGGACCTTGTGTTTGGGAGTAGAAAAGTAAGAAAAATCACAGCAAATAAAAGATAAAAACTTGTAGGAAAGTAAACAAGAAAGAACACATCATATTTAACGAGGTTCGGCAATCGTTCCTACGTCATCGGGAGCTACACCACATAATTCTTTGATTAATATTGCAGAAGATTACAATGCCCACAAATATGATCTAATCTCTCTGAGATTTCTCTGAAGAATTCTCTCAAAACCCTTTTTTCTGATGTCTAATCTCTTCTAAGGTGTTCCATATATATAGAAAACCTAAAACCAAAACATACTAGGAATTCTAAAACCAAAAAAACAAAACAGATTAGGAATCCTAATAGGCTATTACCAAAACAGATTAAGAATCATGTTACTAAAACAGATTAAGAATATTTTTATCAAAACAGATTAGAAAACCTGCTATCCAACAAGTTGTTTGATTCCAGGTTTGAGCAGTCTACATCCCTTAGACTAACAGAAGCTACCTCCTCACTTCCCATTTATAAAAAAGGGCCATAAAAAAGCCCATCGAGCTCCCTCAACATCTTCAGTGCGCTTTCAAACGATGGCCAGACCCCAAAAACCCTTGTTACTGCTCAGAGACTATCTCGAGCTTGACTCCTAGGGAGAGGTTGTAACCGAGCACTTGAGGAGGAGGACACGGGCTAGGACCAACACTTAGTGTGTGAGGTGTGATTACATAGTGATTGTATTGTGAGGTGTAAACGTTGTTCGGGTGAACGTAGAAAACCCGGTTGTGATAGTGGAGATCTCCTCGAGGTGAGGAGCGGGGACGTAGGTCGTGGGGACCGAACCTCGTAAACATATCGTTTTGTTTGTGATTGCATTGGCGTTCTTATTCTTGTTTTCATATCTTATATCGCCTTTGTGTATTGCTCATCATATTACCCTATCACTTGTGTAGATTGTTTATTTTACCCTTGTGTTAGTTCATATATCCTTGCTCATATATTTGTAATATCTCATTGATAGGATATATTCATTTGTTCATATTGCTTATCCTAGCTTACGTATCTTGTTGTATTTTATACTTGCTAGGATAACTTATTAATTAGTTTTAATTGGCATTTAATTGGGATTAGATTAGCATAAACCCTAATTCACCCCCCTCTAGGGTCTAACAATTGGTATCAGAGCTTGGTGCTCTTTGATTTAAGGACTAACCGCCTTGAGTTAAAGATCCAAGTTATCTTATTAGTGCTAATCTAATTTTGATTATTGTGCCTCTTGCATTTCATCTCTATGGATATGAATGATTCATCTTGCTTAGGATATGCTATTAATATTGCTCCTCGTTTGGATACTTTTCCCTATGCTCAATGGCGTATTAGATTTAAACTTTTCGTTCAATCTAATCAATTTGATCTATGGAAAATTATTGAGGATGCTTATGTTGTTCCTATTTTGGAAAAATCAAAATGGTGTGACAATGACAAAAGATTGTTTAACATGAATAAGCTCTTTTTAGGATTTTTGATTAGTGCTTTTCACTCATCATTTTCTAACAAACTTGCTAATTTTGATAGTGCTTATGCGTTATGGAAACTTATTGAAGCACATGAAGGAAAATTGGAGGCTATTCAAGAAGCGTTGGAAAATCCCGCTTCGGCAGGAGGTTCTCATGGAAGAAGACACAAGAGAAGGAGGCCGTGGTCGTTACAGTTAACGACATTGTTCGGTTGAAATCTTTTGATGATGAGACGCGTAGAGAGCGGAGGAGAACATTGTATTTTACTTCGTCGCCGCCGCCTGTTGCTAGTAGCTCCAGCAGCTGCTCTGAGGACGCCGAGCAAAGATCGGAGTCCTTCGCGTCGTCGTCGTCGAGCAGCAACTCTGTAGATGTCCAGACTCAGAGCCAGAGCCAGAATCAGAATCTGTATCAAAATCCTATACAACCGTCAGAGGTGCGTTTTACTTATTTCTACGTTCACATGCTAATTTACTGAGTTATCTATCAATTGTTTAATCTACGACTATGATTTATTTCGAATGAAGCTAAAGTGAACACAGATCACATAGTTTCAGGGCGCAACCTCCTAAAATGAGATATATTATGACAAGCTTGGTCCGATTTTGAGAATAACATGATCTTGTTTTTGGATAAAACCGAGCTAATGTTAGCTCAGTTTACAAATTATTGATTTTATTACTTAGTTTAAGATCTTGTTTATTACTTAGTTTAAAATTGTTGATTTTTATTGTATTCTTATCTTGGTTAGGCGTGATGAGTAGCCTAGAGTTGTCCATTACATTGCGATTAACGCATTCATTTTGCATGGTAAATTAGGGTTAGGGATTCTTGCGTCTTTATCACGTACCAATTAGAGAGATGGGGCCCTTGCTTATCTTTGGACTTAGCTCTCCACTTGAAAATTTTGGGTGTCCTACAGAAAAGGAAGTGCAATGTAATTTTTTTTTGCAGTATTTTGTTGTTATTATTTTTGTCGGCTAGTAAAAAAGATGGTTAATTGTTTTGATTCGGCCCGAGCTCTTGTCGGTGGGCTTGGGATCCTTGCGGATCGAGTTAAAACAGGTATTGTGGACTTGATCAGTTGAGTTCTATAAACTACACACATGTACACCTAAATGTAACTTTTGGATAGACATTGTGATTATTCAAGAAAATTTATTTATTGTTTATTTTAGCTCTTTTTTTTTTTTTTTTTTTTTAACAGGAAGGAGCGAACGAGAAGTTAGAATGCAAAGGGTCCCAATCCGAAGAAGAAAAAGAACAACTGAGCCCGATATCAGTCATGAATTTTCCTTATCAGGAGGAAGGAGACAAAAATGAAGGTGAAGAGGATGAGGCAAGCTCTTCTGGTTTTGAACAAAGCCTCGCTAATAATATTAAAAGTACGTATGCCTTCATGGCCCTTTTTTTTTCCTAAATTCCTATACTCTTTAAAGTAGGATTAATTGCATTAAAATGTGACATTCCATATGTAAGATTCTTTTGCAAGATTAAATATTAATTATAAAATACATAATAACTTTTGCTATTTGCCTGTCTTATTAAGAGCAGGCCTTTTTTTTTTCGTAAGCACCCACGCGTACAAGAAAGCAATAGCTGGCGTTTGGGGCCCCACAAAAATCCCAAAGAAAAAGCTGCCATCTTTCATTTCAATTTCATACAATTAATATAGCAGTTTGAATCCAAGCCCATGCTAGAATTTATGGTAGTTTGAAAAAGACTTTTACAATAATATTAATCTTAAAATTTTCCAAATAATTAACACCTTGACCCTGTAAACCATCATAAATGATTATTCAAACTACAAAATTACTATTTTTTTTATACATCCAAGAAATTGTTTCCTCCCTCTCAAAAAAAAAAAAAAAGAAAGAAAGAAAAAACCGATAAAATAAAAAAATTGTTTCCTATACCTTGAACTTTATTTGAATTGGAAATATTAATTTATAAAAGTAGAAGGTATATTATTGATAGGACATGTATAGAAGGGTAAAGGATACTATAAAAGTTATTATAGGGGTAAAAATCGACAAACAAAATTTTGGACCAATACAAACGATGCATAAGTATACAAATAGTTAAATTAGTAGTTCATCCATATATAGTTCTTCCTCTGATAAGGAAAAGACCACAGATGTTCCTAAATGTTTTTTTTAATATCATAATTAAGAAATATTACACATGTGATGATTACAAGCGGGTAACAAACTGCGCCACTAATAAATATTGGCCCCCCAAAAGACAAATTTCTATGGGAGGTTTTTTCCCCTCTTTTTTTTGGGGTGGGGGGGGGAGTAGCAGTAATTTTCTCATATAATCTCTTGTTTCCCATATGGATGCAGGGTCAAAGCACAGGCTGCTGCATAAGATCCGACGGTTCGAGACTCTCGCTGACCTTCTGGACCCACTCAACCTCGATCTCCGCTTCGCATGTACCGAGGAGGAAGCGGACAGAGTCCACGTGGCATCACCCCACGCGATCACTGCCCGTGACCTAATCCATCGGCTGAGATCTGACCTCCACAGTAAACCCCAGTCCGACGAATTGCTCTTCGAATTTTTCGTGGATGAGTTATCGTGGTCCGCAGGAACAACGAACGAAAACATCGGACGGTTGTTACCTGCAGCTGTTGACTGGATCAACGGCACGGGTTTCATAAACATGGAGGAACACGGTAAGTCGCAGCTGGACGAGATGGAGCGGAACGGAAGGTGGAGATGCTTCGGGTTTGAAAAGGACGACGTGGCTGCTGACGTGGAGATGGGAATCTTGGGATCTCTGCTGCATGAGCTCGTCCTCGAGCTCGCCGTCACGGACTAATTTAGTTAGCAATTAGTTAAGGGCTTAATTGCACTGAAACAGAATATAGTTTCCCCTACTTTGCACTTGTACATATATCCCACTCGTATTTTATAGCACTTATATACCTTAAAGTTTTTAAAACCTACACTTATTTATTCTTTTTTTTTTTTTGCAGCACTTATATACCCTAAAGCCATGCACATAAACATCCTAAAGTTTTAAAAAAAATATGTACTTAAATGCCCCAAATATTTTAAAATTGCACTTAAACACCCTCAGTTATCAAACTTGAGGGGTATTTAAGTGCATGTTTTGAAAACTTTAAGGTATTTAAGTACTAGTTTCAAAAGCTTTAGAGTACTTAACTATACGGGTTTTTAAAACCATAGGGTATGTAAATGTTCCAAAATTAATGAGGATATGTAAGTCAAAGTTTTAAAAATTTTAGAGTGTTTAAGTGCTACCAAACACAAGTGATGGTATATATATAAGTGCAACGTAGGGGAAAATATTGGGAATTTTAAGTGTAATTAAGCCTTGTTTAACAATGAGATTGTAGTAGGGTCTGGATGTAAATGTGTACTGGTGAGGGCACATAGAAATTGTAGGGTGGCGATGATAGGTTTGCTTCTTGCAAACCAATTTTGATAGAGGGGTTTTTCTAAGCAAAAAGTTGTTTTACTATTTTTCTTGTTTTAGAAAAACTTTATGGGAATTAATGAGCGCATGAAATTCATTAATCAGCGAAGTATATTTTAGAGGAAGGCCGTGGGCGCCGGCGACTCGCTAGCACGTGAGTGTGAGATTTGGCAGTTTGGGTCAACGTTTTTGCCATGTGGAAGTTTTAGTCAGTTTAAGCCTCACTAAAATTCGTTTTATATTTTTCTGCATTTGCCAAGGAGGAGACCTAACGGAGAGCAGTTTTTTGTTTAGATGATAAAGGTCAATTTGGAGCTATTACCAAATGTGCATTTTTAGTACGATATATATATATATATATATTTCAATATGATATTTCCTCTTTCACTTGCGATATTATGAATATTGAAAATAATAATCTGGTTATTTTTCTTACTACTAAATGTACGAATTTGATTATTTTTTTCTGTATAAGGCAATGCCAAATTGATGTTTATTGTTGACTGTGGCTGTTGGGCGTAGGCGCTGTCCAAAACAGCCCGCTGGCCGCCGGTTCGCCGGCCGGCTAAAACCGCCGGGCCGTGGGCCCACTGTGCTCTGGCTGACCGGAAACCCGCGGCAATGTCTCCGGGCTCCGTGGCCTTGGGCCCGGCCGGCTCTTTGCTGCCCGGCCCGGGAATAGTGTTTTTTTATTTTTTATATTTTATTTTTTTATTTTTTATTTTTATGTATTATATTATATATGTATATATAAAATTATCATATAATATGCTATTATATATATTGTATATATAATATATTTTTTATATATGTATATATACATTTTCTATATATGTTATATAATATGTCATATGTGTGTATATACTATACTCTTCTCTTGTGTATAAGTATATATAAGTTATACTCTCTCTTTATGTAAGTATATATATGTATATAGTATATATAAGTATTACTTTTCTCTTATTTAAGTATTATATTAAGATACTCTCTCTTATATATGTTATAATGTATGCATTGTATGTATATATATACTCTCTCTTAGTATATATGGTATATATAAGTTTATACTCTCTCTTATTATTATGTATACTCTCTTTATATAATATTATTTTCTATATATGTATAATATGTCATATTGTTATGTATTTATTATTACTCTCTCTTAGTATTAAGTATATATATGTATAAGTATATTATAAGTATATCTTTCTCTTTATAAGTATATATATTTATATATATTTATCATATTATATATTATATACTATATTATATATATATATATATTATATATATATATATATATATATATATATATATATTATATTATATAATTATATTATATATATTATATATATATATTAGATATACTCTCTTTTATATATGCTATATGTATTTATGTATTATTATATACTCTCTCTCTTGATATATATGTATATATAAGTTATTACGTCTCTGCTTCTTATATATGTATTACTCTTCTTCTTAATATTAGCTATATATTAGATACCTCTCTTATATATGTTTATATTATATGTGTGTATTATATATATATATTATATATTATATATATATATATATATTATATATATATATATATATATTATATTTATATTATATATATAATATATATTATATATATAAATATATATTATATATTATATATAATATATATATATATATATACTCTCTCTCTTAGTTATATATGTATATTAAGTATAAATCTCTCTTATATATGTATACTCCCTATTCATATGAAGTATACTCTTTTATTATGTGTGTGTGTATACTCTCTCTCTTAGTATATAAGTATATATAAGTATAGTATATTACAACGGCTACTTCTTCCCCATTGGCCCAACGGGCAACGGCTACTTATGCGATTCTCTCTCTTAAATTATAACTTATAAATATATACAATATATTTACATATAATATATGTATATATAATATATAGTTACATAATAATTTATAAGTATATACTAATACATAATTATATAAAATATAATAATATTAAACTAATTTTTAGCATTTTTTATCAAAAAAAAAGAAAAGAAATTAAAAAAACCTAGGTGGGATGTACTTATCTATTGTGATGCGATGAATTCCAAAATATATTTATACTTGTAATTTGTAAATGATTTATTAATTATTAATAAAGAATTTATTTTTATAATTTTTTATTTGTAATTTATGTCATTTTAAGTGATTAATAAAAGTATTATTTTTTTATTATTTTTTTGTCTTTTTTTATAATTTAAAACTTAAATAAAATTTAAAAATTTGAAAAAAAAATTTAAAAAAAAAAGAAAAAACCCGGGCCGGCCCGGAACCCGGCCCGGTCGGGCCCGGGTCCGGGCTCCGGGCTCCGGTTTGTAGGGCTATGACCTGTGGATTGCGACTTTGACTTCAGGCCTAATTCGATCTATTGGTTGGGCCTGCGGTAATTCCTATGACGCTCCAATCTATCATGAGAATGGGGAGAAGATCATACAGAGTGCTGTCTATTGAAAATCATACAAGATAGAAGTTTACCATGACATCTTTTTCACCATCAATAAATGTCGACAATAACTAATTTCAAAATGTCTATAATATAGATTGCATCTCTTTTCTCTCAGTATGATTTTCTATCTAGGATAATAGGATTTTGTTCCAAATGATGGGATGGGGATCCATGTCTTCTCTTTTTCTTTTAATTTTTGAGTCAGATGTATGTGAAGTTAATACAAAATCCAACTTGTAATTTATCCTGTGCTAAGCACGGTCATACCTCCCTAATTCAGCATCTCTGTTGCAAGTTAAGAATTTCAAAGAATCATATATATATACATGGTTTATTAATTGAATTCATGTCAATTCCTTTCCCATCCAAGCCCGAGTTTTATGCCCGGGGGAACCCTGGTGAATCACTCGTGAACCGAATTCACATCAAATTATCTCCTCATGTAACTCCTCGATCTCCACAGTACCTTCCGAATCCTTTTATCGTAGCGGTGTTGTTATGTCACAGAAATTGTTAAGTGTAAACTACTCTCAGGAGAATGACATGTGTCTCGATTAGCCGACTACAACTTGAGACATTAACCTGACCGAGGTCCCATGAGTACCAGCTCCCCCTCCTTAAAGCACTTCGTGATTTGAGGTGACAAACGCTCTCACTCGGACCTTCTCAAGGAATCCGAGAGAAAAGGCGCCCTCTCCCGGGCTTTCTCTCAAAAGCCTGAGATGAAAGGCGTCCTCATTCGGACGCTCTCGAAGGACCAAGACGAAAGGCGTTTTCACTCTGACCCAGCGAAACACCTTAAACCATGAGGAAACCTATCAGCTTCGTCTTTCTAAGCAACGTCAACGTTGAAGCTAATCTTATTAAAAAAGAAAAAAAAGAAAAAAAAATGTCAAAAGCGTATCATCATTTGATTTGTACTGATTCACTCGTGTTCTGAAAATTCTATGGAAAAGTGATAATTAAAGATTGATTATTCGATTTTAATCCCGCTAAAAAAAGGTCTACTCTATGTGGACAAATAATTTAATCACGTCATATTTTTCTAGTGAGATAATGCATGCGATGTGAATAAACTCAAACGAGAGCTAACGTAGTCTATTGTGTTTAATCTCCAGCAAACAAAAAAAACTAATTAAAATGAATAGGACTATATAAATGTTATCAAAGCCTATCTTATCATCAAGCAAACTAGCCCTGTTAAAGAAGGGCGAGGATTGAATTTGGCTGGGTAAAGTTTGATATTAACAAACGTGAAGCAAACGAATTACTAAGGGTCATCTTGTTTAAGGCTCAATTCAAGAAAAAAAAAATTTATCACCTCTTCTCAAGCAAAAGGCACTGCTACTAGAGCAAGGCATCAAAGAGATGAGATCCAGAAGATAAGATGTGTGAACTTAAATCACAAACCAATTCAATTTATCTCCACCCTTTATATGTACCCCAACTCCATCATCAAATGGGGGACGCCAAAAAAAATCCCTCTGCCAAAAATAAAAGAGCAGAGCTGCCCGTCATCTTCTCCTCTTCATCCTCAACAAAAAGATTCCATTAATTCCATCTCCGCAAGGTGATTTTTCTCCCTCGCCGCGTTATTCCTCCACCAGACTGAACAAGATCCATCATCACCCATTTCCCATCCAGCCAAATAAAAATTTGCGTGTTCATCCGGCACCAGTCGATTAAAAAAATAGAGAAAACATTGTTAATACTGAGGCACCGTCCTCCTCTGAGCCACAATGCTCAACAATTGAGGCACTTTCCTCACCACCGAGCCATCATGCTCAACCCTTGAGGCACCGTCCTCAGACCGGGCTACCGTGGTCAACCCTCGATGGAGATTTGTATTAATTAAATTGTTTATTACAAATTAAGAATAAACAAGATTACAACATAAGCGAAGAGAATACTCTTCTTG